GAAACTGTTTTTTACAGTTTCAATATTAGTTTGTAAATCTCTGAATGGTAAAACTTGCCAATACTCCAATAATACGTTTCAAAAAAGACAAAAAAGCTCTAGTTTTGCAGAGTTAAATTCTCAAACGTGTAAGGCACTAATAAGATGAAAGTATCACGAAATTATTTGAATAAACCACATCGCATATATGGGGGGGGGTGAATATCCTAAAGGGGGGCGATATTCCTAGGGTATTCGCCCCCCCCCCCTTTTGAGAGGGGGCGAATCTCGTAGGGGGGGGCGACCTTTTTAAAAATTCTATCTTGCCCCCCAAAATATGAGTTTGCCCCTCAAATGCCCTCCCCCCCGTCCAAAGGCGTCCATTTTTTGTTCTAGGGGCGTCCCAGGACGCCTGGACACCCTTCTGGCTAAAAGCCTGCACATGCATGTCATAGTCAAGCCCACAAGCCATGTCATAGTCAAGTCAGGTATTCTTTATTGTACCATGAGAGATTTTTAACATTAATTAGCAACTCAGTAAGACTTGATAGAACACACACTGTCTGGAAAAAACAACTTGCAGAATCACATTGCAGAAAACAATGCCAGATAATTTTCAATGTAGCCTGGTATGCAGTTGGGAAATCATGTAAATCTAATTAAGATACGATATCTTATTTATCATATTTTTTAAAAAAATGTTCTGTTCTTTAGAGAAACATGTTTAGCGAAACATGCTAAACATACATATCATATTTACATTTATTATATAGTAGAGAGTGAGGTACTGAGGCGTAAAAAAAAAATACCTGTGGTTCCGGTTTCATATCGTGAAAAAATTACGGTCGGTAGGTCGGAAATAAATTTTTTTTTTTGAATATTTTTTTCATGGTTTTGGCAATTTTTGCTGGGCGATTTGCAGCAGAGTCCCGACATCAATATTAACTAGAGATGCGTATTTCCTTTGGACGAATTTAGGCAATTTGGTTCAATAATTAGTGTGACAACAGACGCCATTTTGGCACGCTGTATGAGCAGCCCGCAACCACCTGGAGAAAATAGGGTTGCACGGTCAATCGCGTTGAAAAAAATAATAGGGTCGGCAGAAAAAAATAGGGTCGGTCGGGAACCGGAACCACAGGTATTTTTTTTTACGCCTGAGAAATACACAGTGAGATATTTTCCATATCTTCACTATCTCGATCACGTGACTTTTTCCAATTTGCTTTTGAGAGTGAAAGTTCATAATTTTTTGATTGGGACTATATAATAAACAGAACATTACACGGTGGCTTGAAGATTCGACTTTTATCTTCTCGTGTTAAAAACAATTTCACCACTCGAAGATAAAAGTCGTATCTTCGCGCCGCCATGTAATATCCTCTATGTAAAACCTTACCCTAAAACAATATGTTCATTCCTCGTCCTTTAAACTTAAGCGAAATTAAACTGGGGGCTTCAGCTAAGCTGCTTTAAAAATAGATTAAGTTGAATATGTTAAAATCGTTAAAAAGCATCAGCTTTTTCATTGCGAGATAGCCCCCACCAAGACCAAAACCAATCATAAAGCAATTTTCGCAGTATTTTTGTTGTGCAAACTGCAATATTCTCAGTTCACTCCATAGCAACTCAACTGCTTTGCTAGTTCACTGTGCATAGGCAGATGACTGCGCATACTCAGCTGCATAGTGCAGTTCACTGCGTATAACCATGGATAATAAAATACATGGATAGGAAACTAGCTGACGTGACCTAATGTTTTCAATGGGATGATGGCGTTGAAACCTAGTTGCAAACCAAATTCTCAAAAACGGCATGTTTAGCGATAATACAGCTAAATATTTTAGTCAAAGAGCTTTTGAGCTAAACATAACTAGGCCATTCTACGATGAAATCTCTAAGTATTCCCAGTCAATTTTAGCAAATATTTCAAGCACTAAACAGTGAAAAATGCATCGCAAATTTCGAAAAAATTGGCAACGCCAATTCGTAGCTACAAATGTTTAAAAATACAAAACAAAGACGAAAACATTTACCTTGAATACTTTGTAGTGACTTAGACATGTTTTTAAAACAATTAGACCAGTTTATGCTTCAATATTACTCTTTTAAAGCGGAAAATATAGCGAAACAACAAAAATGCTGAGAACTTTGGCAATACACGTGACGTCACAGATTGCAACTAGGTTTAGACTGTGACGTCAGCTAGTTTCCTATCCAGAATGCGTAGCAAATTTTCGTGGTGGTTTATTGCTCCACAATCGTTATGAACGTGATCTTGTAAGTTCTGTATTTTTCCATTCTAATCATCTAGCAAAACATAAAATGATACACGCTGAAGACAGACCTTATGAATGTGATGTTTGCAAGAAACGATTTACACAATCTCGCCATCTGGAGATACATAAGAAAACACACACTGGAGACCAACCTTTTGAATGTGATTTTTGTAAGAAACGATTTGCACATTCAAGTAGTTTGGTGAACCACAGACGGACACACACCGGAGACAGACCTTATGAATGTGATATTTGTAAGAAAAGGTTTAAACAATCTGGCCATCTAACTTCACATGAAAGAACACACACTGGAGACAAACCTTACGAGTGTGATGTTTGCAAGAAGAGATTTTCTCAGTCAAACCACCTAACAACACATAAAATAAAACACACTGGGAACAAACCTTACAAATGTGGCTTTTGTAAGAAAAGATTTTCAGAATCAGGAAATTTAGCAGTCCACACAAGGACACATACAGAGGCTAAACATTATGAATGTGATGTTTGTTTCAAGAGGTTTAGACATTCAAATACTTTGGTGATACACAGGCGGACACACACAGGAGAAACACCTTATGAATGTAATATCTGTAACAAAAGATTTTCACAATCTAGCCATCTTGGAACACATAAAAGATTACACACTGGGGACAAACCTTATGAGTGTGATGTCTGCAAAAAAAGATTTTCACGCAAGCATCATCTTAATTCCCATGAACAGCAACATTTGTTGTGTGACACTTGCCACAGAGAGATTATTCAACCCCAAGAATTGCAAGAACATTTTGTTAAGGATACAGGCAGTGGAAAGTATGTTTGCAGTAAATGTAGCAAAGAGTTGCCTCATAGTTTCATGAAATGGGTACGACATATAGCAAGGGAACATAAAAGTGATGGAAACTATCAATGCGGTTTTTGTCAAGAACTTGAATCAACAGAACCAACTGGTATTGGATATGCTTGTTGTGCCTGTGATGCTGTGTTTGACGTTCCCAGAGAACTTGAAGAACACATGGTCTCTCATGACATGATGGAGATTAAATAGGTTTCAGCTTTATATGACTTTTGTATTTTAACGACTAATATTGATCTAGAGTAGTAATAAGGTGAAGATAGGGACATGGGTCCCAGTCGATAAGTGTTCATTTATTTCTGTGGAAAATCTTTTGTTTCATAATATTTGCTCTGATGGATATTCATGCTTATTGCATGGTCCGGCTGTTTAAAGTGCTACTGCAGCGAAATTTTCGACCCATAGTTAATTAAAAGTGCTTTTCTTCTTGACCTGTTCACCACAAACAGAATTGAAATTGATCAATTCAAGCCGATTTTATAGCCTTATCTCATCGGTTCGTGATTCTAAAATCACCGATAATGAGATAAAAATAAGCAAGTAAATTCAAAAACTAAGCAAGATGCGAATCACATTTATCAGTCACTTATGACGCCACTAATGACGTCAAAAGCAGGGTTAGTCATATAAAACTACATCTAAATGACCAAATAACAGTAAATCTTGTTTGAAAAGTTGTCAGTCACTTTCTTATTTGAATTAGTTACCGGAGTATGATTTTGGGCTCATGACCCTGCTTATGACGTAACATGCATATCCTCCAAAATCAAGATGGCGAAATGCTCGCTGGTTTGTGATTTTTTCTGTCAAAATATCTCAAGAAATAATAAAGTTGCGCAAAAACTGTAAAGGAGATTTACATATTATATGCCATTTTAAAAGTTGTTCCAAATGAGATCATAGAAAAATATGTTGCCATATCCCTTTATTTAGATAAGAAGTGTGAAAATTGGTTTTTTTGCAATTTATTAGTTGCTGAAAAACAAAAAGTATCTATTGCACTTTTCTGTCTTACACCGCAAGACAGTTGCGCTTCGTGGGGACTGTATACTATCAGAACAATACCATCGGAAATAGAACACACACGCGTACTTTAAATCATATTTATTTAAAACGATTCAAACGATAAAATACATAACATGACAATCCTTCTGGTTTTCTCTCGTGCGTTCAGTCTGACAATCAATTCGAAGCCTATTATTTATGCGATACATTTCTTACGTCAATCAACTAAATCACCCATTGTTTGGTCTCCTACGGCGTTATCAATAGTATAATGTTACAAATTATTCTACACACTCCCCCCTTTGAGCCTGTAAGGGTCAAACATGACTTGTGTTCTCCAATGTGCATCCAAAGCTGCTGCTCTCCTAGGTCTATTACTATGGATACAGCTTTCCACCTTACCCTTCTCTCCGTCTTTCTCATTCATTTCCGTCTTTCCTTTCTCATTAATTTTCGTCTTTCCTTTCTGGTTATCATACCCATCCACTTCATTTTCAACTTTATTATCCTTTCTTTCTTCTGTACTGCTTCCGTTCTCATTTAACTCTACAGGATACAATTTCTGAACTGGTCTATTAAGATATACTGCATTTCCTTTAGTCATCACTCTCACTTTCGCTCCTCGAACCACTTCATCTCTACCGACAATTAAACTCTCAATCCTACCTAACTTCCAAAATCCTCTCTTAAGATTCTCGTCAAATACTAAAACTACATCTCCCTTCTTCACTTTACTATCCCTCTTCTCCCTCTTACTTCTATGATGCTCTCTCAAATTCGTCAAGTATTCTTTTCTCCATCTCTCCCAAAAGTGAACTCGCAGTTTCGCTAGATGCCTAAACCTACGCTTAACCTTTGTCTCATCATTCTCGTCAATTTTGTAACTAGTCTCGTCTGAACTTAATTCACAGACATAATACACAACTGCACAATAGGCTTTCAAACTAGCATCACCAAACCCATGTAATGAACATTTGGGTTTTCCAATTAGATTTCCAAACAAACACCTTGGTATCATAATTTGACCTACAACTTCAAGATCATGAACCCAACCTAACCATTGCTTCAAATATTTTCCTTTTAATTCAGAATCCCAATCTACTTTGTCCAAACACAGTGCTTGAAACAACATCTTAATACTTACTACCATTGGGCTAAGAATTCCCAATGGATCAAACAACCCAGCTAATACTCTAAGAATATTGCGTTTGGTTACAGGTTGCGATTTTGCTTTCTCAACTAAACCCTGAAACAAAAACTGAAATTCATCAGTTGTACAATTCCAAGCTAACCCAAGGACTTTCTCTGATGTGTCATTTTTGCCTGTCATGCAAAGGGATGACTTAGCAAATGTTTCTTCACATGCCAAGTTTCCTCTATCAGGCTTGATTTCTTCCTTTGATTGGATTTTCTCTAATACAAGTTTACTATTACTGAGCCATTTCCTTAGCTTGAAACCCCCAGAAGCTAAATTGTTACTAGAAGCCTCATATAATGATAATGCATGCTCAGGGGTTTGTTCTCCAGTTACCAGATCATCAACATAAAAGCCGTCCTTCAACTTTCGAGTCAATTCAGGATTACCCTTCGAAAAGCGGTCAAGATAGTGTTGAAGTGTGGCATTCAGCACAAATGGTGAACAGTTCACACCAAAAACAACTCTACAAAATCTATACTCTACTGGCTTCACCTCATCTTCATGTATGTTGCCCACCCACAGAAACCTCAAACAATCTCTGTCACACGGATCAATTTCAATATGTAAAAAAGCCTTCTCTATATCTGCTACAAGCGCTATTCGCTTTTCTCTAAAACGCAATATAATGTGATACAACAACGGGGATAGAGGTGGCCCAACATGCAAGCAATCATTTAAAGATACACCCTTCTTAGTCTCTTTACTCGATGCATCATACACAACCCTGACCTTAGTGGTCTTTGCATCTTTACGAACCACAGCATGATGTGGTAGATAATGGATCTTATCAGCTCTCTCTAACCCTACAACTGGTTCTATAATACCTAGCTCTAACTGTTCTTTAATTACTCTGTCATACTCTTGTAAAACGTCTGGCTCCTTCTTTAATCTTAAAAGCTGTCCCTTTAATCTCTGCACACTACAGCTATAATTAGTTGGCAACAAACTATGCCCTTCCTTCCAAGGTAAACTTACACTATATCGTTGGCCATTGAAATGTATTGAATCATTTAATAACTCACTAGCTTCCTCTTCATGCTTTATACCTAACGTTTCATAATCCCATAATTTTTCAACACATGCTTCAAGGGACCTATTTTTTGATGAATTTACATGCCCAATAAGGTTTATACTTACCTGTGCACACGATGTAGGACCATCATCATCTTCAGAGCTACTCTTCAGTGGACCTGACAACACCCATCCTAATTTGGTTTGTACCGCAACAGGTTCATCACTCTTGCCCCTAACCGTACGCCCTTCTTGAAATATCCACAAATAATCTGCGCCGATTAGTAACTCTATTTCTAACACATTCTTGGTCTTACAAACATCGGAAAACCATAACCCTTGCAAATGTGGGTAATCTTTCTTCCTTGTCTCTACATGCTCATTCCTAATCTGTGAAATGCTGTCTACTCCATAAACTTCAATGCTAACACTCTCTCCCCCCTGTACTGGGGCTACACTCAATTCAAACACTTCTCTCAACTTCCCTTCAACTTTCTCCTGTCCGAACGTTCTAATTTCTACCCATTCCTTCTTCTTTACTGGCTCCTGTCCGAACGTTCTAATTTCTACCCATTCCTTCCTCTTTACTGGCACTCCTGCCTTCTGAGCTACCTTGCCCGTAACGAATGACCGTTGACTTCCTGAGTCAAACATAACCCGCACTCTCACATTATCCTTTCCTCCCAACACCAAAGCCTGAGCTGTCTGCAATGCTACTCTATTTGCTGACCCAACGCACGAATGTGTGGAATGAACGACGTCAGCGGTTATAGACCCATTAGCATGGCTCTCACAAATAGAACTATGATGTCGTTTACTGCATGCACTACATTTACTCGTATTTAAACAATTACTACTAATATGTCCTCTTTTTAAACATACAAAACACCGTCCGTACTTACGAAGTATCTGTTTACGCTCACCAGCATTCTGAATTTTCTTACAATCTTGTGATAAATGTTCTTGTAAACAATATACGCATCTTGGCTTCCCTTCCCTGGTGGTATGATTCACAAGAGCACCCGCCGATCCATCTAGAAACTGTGGTTTCCTTCGTTCTTGTTTTGACGTGTTCGTCGTAGATGATTCGTGTGCTTCGCGTAATTCAATTTCATCTAGCAGTGCTTTTAAAATATCCTTCATCGTCCAACTTAGAAAGTCTGATCCACTTAGTGCTTTTAAAATATCCTTCATCGTCCAACTTAGAAAGTCTGATGTCACTTGCCCCACGAGTTATTGTCAAACGAAGGGATTCCGGCAGCTTGTCGAGTATTTCCGGAACAACAATCGTAGCATACGAACTTTCGTCCACTCCCAGGGTTTTCAGACCTCGGCAGTTTGTCTCACAGGCATGGTACAATTCCCGTAGTCGACGCACATCTCGCTCGTTGTATACTGGTTTTATGTTCATCAACGCTTGAATATGGGCTCTCTGTATCGCCGTTTTCTTCCCATATCGTGTCTTTAGGAGTTCTAATGCTTCTTTATAGTTCGTTGCTGTCAACGTGAACCCTGCGATAGTTGTCTGCGCGGGACCAACCAGTAGACCTTTCAAATACGCGAATTTATCTACATCGGATAAAGCGTCATTCTGGTTGACCGAGCTATCAAAAGAGTCCCAAAATTCTTGCCACTCTTGAATTTTCCCATTAAATCTTTTCACCTCTAACTTTGGGAGCCTTGCGCGAACAGTCTGTTTTGGTGTAGCGTTCATACTCAGATTCGATGGTGTACTTTGACCTTGTGGTAGTGACGGCGCTTCGAACAATGCGTCATTTACGTCGAGAATTATTTTTTGTAATTCAGCTCGCGTATCATCTGTCTCCTGAATTTCCTTTTCCAGCTGTTGTTCTGCGTCTTCGGCTTCACTATTACTTAGTACCTCGACAATCTCGTTATCTAAAAGTTTCAAGGCTTCGAGTTTCTCGCTCAGCGTGTCTCTCAGCTGTTTCAGCACATTCTTGTCCGTCTGAGGCGTTTCACTCGCATTCGCTAAACATTCTTTTATCTTCGTCCCTATCTTCGTTGCTGAACCTCTGTGCGCTGCGCGTGTTCTTCTTTTCTTTGTCAGCTCGTCCAACGGCATTGTCGTATCTATCTATCTATCGATTCTTTCTTTCGAAATCTATCCGGTTCGCATGGACCAAGTGTTGCACTTTTCTGTCTTACACCGCAAGACAGTTGCGCTTCGTGGGGACTGTATACTATCAGAACAATACCATCGGAAATAGAACACACACGCGTACTTTAAATCATATTTATTTAAAACGATAAAATACATAACATGACAATCCTTCTGGTTTTCTCTCGTGCGTTCAGTCTGACAATCAATTCGAAGTCTATTATTTATGACATACGATACATTTCTTACGTCGATCAACTAAATCACCCATTGTTTGGTCTCCTACGGCGTTATCAATAGTATAATGTTACAAATTATTCTACAGTATCTTACTGATTAGACTTGGTTCAAGTCCGTCTCAGGAGAAAATTAGGGAGAGACGGACTTGGGACATTCGCAGCATTTCGAATGTTACTTTCAAAAATTGGCGCGAAAATGTGTTGTTGTTCTCAACTGCCAAGCCACGTCTCCGTAGGAAAAATCCGACGGTAAATTTTGGCGCGCTTGCAGGGTATCCAAGTCCGTCTCTCCGTGCGTTTCTCTGATATTTTCGCGCCTTTTTTGACCGCTCGCGTGCAATCGCCATTTTCAACCCCTTGAGAGACGGACTTGAACCAAGTCTACTTACTGGTATGAGTCAATCTCGTTCCGCGAGCCTGCGATCCTCGGGAAGGAACCGAAGGCTCTGGGATAATCCGTTTCAGGGAGGAATCTGATTGGCCGTTAAAATGGCGTTTCAACATTTAAATAACTTAACTCGTAAACGACGCGGCGAACAATATATGCAGACCAAATAGTTAAAATTGCTTAAGTGGTTCCGAATATTTGGAAAACATAGTAAAGTTAAAAAGTAGTAAAGTAAATGCCATTGAAAATTGAAAATTCGCGTCGCATTGCCAAATCGCGCCCGGTCTGTATGGGCCTTGAGTTGCATGCCCACGTGTCAGGAACTTCCACACGTATAAGTAATTCGTCATCAGCAAAGTTTTGAAACAAACCATGCATGCATGCATGAAGACAAAAGTATGGTCTGAAAACCTGCCTGTTTCAAACGTCGCGCTTCTTATGTGGCGAACGCATTAGAGACAATAGATAATGAGGCATTTCATATGATTATCTATTTTTTTATTAAAAAGAATAGATAATCATATGAAATGCCTCATTATCTATTGTCTCTAATGCGTTCGCCACATGAAATAGGCCTGACTTATACCACTTTAAATAGGCCTGACTTATACCACGTATTTTCAGACACTATACTTCGAATTTCATATCGGACGTTAATCCCGACTAATTTCCAGAACGATTGGAACCCATTTTTTCAAAAGAAGTTACTTTACAGTTTTAGGAGTTCTTTCGTTTGAGGCAATAAAAATTTTAATGACTGAGCCACTTTAAACTGCTTACGCTGCACATCGGTGCCAGGTGTAAAACCCTTTGCAAACCTATACATGCAAGGTGTATATAAAACGGTTATTTGACAGGTTATCGCTCGTTAATTATTACGGTTATATGTTTCTGTTTTCGCATGTACGAAGATCAGGCATTTAGCTGTCAAATGATACCTTTATGGAATCATAGATAAAAAAATGACCAAATACGATCCGATTGAAATCGCATTTAAAGCATTTAGGATTTAAAGTGGCTCTGTCATTAAAATTTTTGTTGTCTCAAACGAAAGAACTCCTAAAACTGTAAAGTAACTTCTTTTGAAAAATTGATTCCCATGGTTTGTTCTTGAGATAGTTCATTTTGTTTGAAACGATGTGACGTCATTTACTCAAGTGACGTTTGAAAGAGGCCTAAGATTTGGCGTTTGAAGTTGACGTTTGGCGTATAAATTTCCTACTCACTGCTACGAGGGCTTGTAGTCGTTAAAGCATGAAATTTATACGCCAAATTACGTAAACTTCAAACGCTAAATCTTAATTTACTGTTTTTGTGAACACATGACTATTGGTTAATTTCCTTTCTTAAATCATTGCTAAATACCACAAGTTTAATAAATGTTTACTATATTTCGAAATTGGTGTAAAAGCTGTTACAATAGAGTTGTAAAATCAAAAAGCTCTTTAGCGGTTTCACATTTGCCGTAAACGTCAATATTAACGTCTCTATTATTATCCTAACTGCCGTATAGCAATGTTCTGCAGCCACTCGCTGTCCCCAAGTATTTTGCCTGGAAAATGTCTAGTGCTTCATTATCGTCATACAAAGGTCGGATAACGTATTTTTTACACATTTGGTAATTATTTTAATTTTGGGATAGGTAATAGGACCTCTACATGCGTCTTGGACCTGTGGTTTACTTATAATCATTATTTATCTCATGGATTTCTTATATTTTCAACGGGGTCTTGAAAGTAGACCATGCCGTGAAATATTGTATAAAAGGTGCACGCGTATTATGCGTGCGTTGTTTTGTGTCTTTTTATGTCAATCCATTGTAGAAATATCGTAATTGAAGTTAACATGTACGGTATGTAAAGTTATTACTTGGTAATTGATAGGTGTAATTTGATGATGCACATGAATTTATCACAGGGTCGCATTTGACCATACTGCGATATTGCAAATTAGGAATTGGTAACAAGACTTGTGATTTTGTGTTGTGTAATTTTACAGTATCTCATCTGAGTAAATGGTTTTCCCAAATATATCTTCACAGGGTCTGGAAAGTAGACCATGCAGTGAGATATTGCGGTAAACTTAGTCTTTGTTGGTCACTGTGTATTTCCACTGTGGTATTTCGTAATGTGTCCATCAAATGTGGTTAAGGCTATGTAAGGATTGTAAGCCATGACGTACTATATACTATACGGATTAATACTTTTAAGTAATATATGTATAATAAGATTGATTGTCCAAAGCAGTCCGAAGTAGTCCGAGCCAGTTTCGCGTTTCAACATGGTATGAATAGTGTGATATATTGGGTCAATATCATTAATTAAAAATGACTCTAGAGAAAGGCGAACATGGGTCGAACGGCATGCGGAATCGCCCTGGACAAATCATCCCACTGGTACAACAAAATTACATTAAGGAGATAAATGGATGATATTGGAGAGATGTTGTGATTTTTAATGAAACATTGAATAATGACGTGATTGTGTATTGGGGCTATAGCAAACCTCACAGAGTCTTGGATTGACCTTGCTTGTGAAGTATGTTAGCGGATGGTATATCATATGGAAGATTCAGTACATATAGTTGTGTTAATTGTGCTTTTTCATTTGTTTGGCCCTCGACGCGTTTCGGTCTCATGACCTTCATCAGGAGGGGCTTCGGGGTTGGGAGTTGATGTTTTGTTGGTTGTTGACGAGAGAAATGGTAAGTGAGAGTGGCGTTGTTCAAAATGATATGGGATATGGCATAGGTGGAGTGCTATAGAGAAGTAGTGAGTAGTCAAAATAGTAGAAAATTATACAACAATGAAAAAATGATGAAAAGCAATAGAAGAAAGAAGATAAAAAAAAATAAAAAAATTAAAAATATATATATATATATATATATATATAAATTTAACGTAACAACCTTAATCTAAAAAACTTACTAAATGATTTGTTTGGTGGTAATCCGCATCGACCAGCAATATTTTGGGGTTGATAGCAATACACAATACCCAATACACAATCACGTCATTATTCAATGTTTCATTAAAAATCACAACATCTCTCCAATATCATCCATTTATCTCCTTAATGTAATTTTGTTGTACCAGTGGGATGATTTGTCCAGGGCGATTCCGCATGCCGTTCGACCCATGTTCGCCTTTCTCTAGAGTCATTTTTAATTAATGATATTGACCCAATATATCACACTATTCATACCATGTTGAAACGCGAAACTGGCTCGGACTACTTCGGACTGCTTTGGACAATCAATCTTATTATACATATATTACTTAAAAGTATTAATCCGTATAGTATATAGTACGTCATGGCTTACAATCCTTACATAGCCTTAACCACATTTGATGGACACATTACGAAATACCACAGTGGAAATACACAGTGACCAACAAAGACTAAGTTTACCGCAATATCTCACTGCATGGTCTACTTTCCAGACCCTGTGAAGATATATTTGGGAAAACCATTTACTCAGATGAGATACTGAAAAATTACACAACACAAAATCACAAGTCTTGTTACCAATTCCTAATTTGCAATATCGCAGTATGGTCAAATGCGACCCTGTGATAAATTCATGTGCATCATCAAATTACACCTATCAATTACCAAGTAATAACTTTACATACCGTACATGTTAACTTCAATTACGATATTTCTACAATGGATTGACATAAAAAGACACAAAACAACGCACGCATAATACGCGTGCACCTTTTATACAATATTTCACGGCATGGTCTACTTTCAAGACCCCGTTGAAAATATAAGAAATCCATGAGATAAATAATGATTATAAGTAAACCACAGGTCCAAGACGCATGTAGAGGTCCTATTACCTATCCCAAAATTAAAATATTGCGAGTTACGCTCATAGGGAACGGAAAGCACAGCTACACCAGGCTCCCTCTACATTTCCAATTTTCTAGACCGAACACATGTACAATACAATCGATACACACGCAGATTTAACAATGATAACGACCTGATGGAAAACAGAACACAGCTTATATAGACACCAGTGATTTACAGAAAGAAACTATAGATTATGCACAATAACAGTGACGCACAAATCACAAAACGACTAGACACAAGGGATGACATATACCAGCTGCAAATGGACGCCCTGTCCTTGACAAGGAGAGGGTCAACAAATATATATACTAACAATAAATTACAACACAAACGAGAACGATCCACTAACGAACGACGGTGACTAAAAATTTGGAAAACTCACAAATAGGCAATGACAGCGACACTGCCCCACAAAACTAAACGCAAAAAACGCCTCTTCGAACTGACCGTAACCAACCCAATACAAAAACACCCTAGACGAACCAAAAAACAACCCTGACTACGAAACTGACACACAAACCGACAATACGTCACCCCACTACTACCAGATGATGCTATATTAA